TTGGAAGGATACCATCCCATATCTTGCATCATTTTCTGAGAATTAAAGGAATATTCATTGGTGAGGCGGTACTGCATGCCCTTCAGAAGATCCCTTCCCCACAGACTAACAGGCAACTCCAGCACATATGGTTGGAAGTGACCCTGGTGTCCTTCTTGGTCTTCCCAGGGGAGGTTTCTTGCACTCATATCTGGGGTCTTGGCATACCCTAATCCCTGTAAAGTCTGGGAAGAGGACTGGACAGGCCATCCTCTTGGCCAATCTTTCAGGGCTATGATGCTGCGATCTGCTCCAGTATCTAATAGTCCCAGAATAAGTTTTCCATTTACTCTGATTTCAATCAATGGGCGTTGTTCTAAATCAAGACTAAAAAACATGGAATCCACCCTGGTGGATCCAAAGCCCTCACATCCTCTTTTCCGATCTCTGGAAGGATACAGTTCATGCAGACTAGGTAGGACCAAAAGTTGGGCAATACGATCTCCAGGGGAAATTGCTGAAATACCCTGAGGGGAAGAAACCAAAACCTTCACTTCTCCTTCATAATCTTGATCTATAACCCCTGGATGAATTATCAAGCCCTTCAAGGCTGAAGAGGATCTTCCCAACAAGATGCCCACTGACCCTGGGGGAAGGGGGCCTTTAAAATCAGTGGTTATTGGCTGCACCCCCATTTGAGGTGTTAATACGATTCGGGTGGTGCAGCGGAGGTCCAGCCCTGCAGAGCCTGACGTGGCCCTCCGAGGGGTCTCATGCTGGGCAAACTGTGTACCTGGTCGCTCTGTTCTTCCATGGCCCCATATATTTGTGGGCCCTGGGGTCTTGGGCCCTTCTGTCCGTTTTTTGAGCGTGCTCCTGCATTTCCAGTGGTTAAAGGTTGACCATTAATGTCCTTAACTGATTGACACTCATTAGCCCAATGATTTCCTTTCTTGCACCTCGGGCATAAACTTGGGCTTGGCTTTGAATTCATTCTCCTTCCTCTCTCGGGCAGTTCCTTTTTAAATGTCCCGTATGGCCGCATTGAAAACAAGCTCCAGGAGTACTTCCCTTCCCTTTTGAAATTTGCATGACAGCGGCTGCAAGGCCAGCGTTGGACAATGGTCCTCCTATCCCCCTGCAAGCCTTCATCCAGGCTGTCAATCCTTTAGCCTTCCAGGGGGTAATTGCTTGCCTACATTCCCTGGTACATTGCTCAAAGATTAACTGCTGTATAAGAGGCATGGCAGTATCAGGATCTCCAAAAATCCTGCCTGCAGCCTCCATCATCCTAGCCACAAAATCTGAAAAAGGTTCTGTTGCTCCTTGGACTATTTTTGTTAAATTACCAGAAACTTCTCCTTTATTAGGCAATGCCTTCCATGCCTTTTCAGCTATAGTATTTATTTGTGCGTAAACTTGTGGAGGATAAGCTGTTTGATTGTTCGACCATTGTCCTTGCCCCATGAGCATATCAAAGCTCCAGGCAGCCTGACCTTGGGCTGCATTATCTCTGGCCCGTTGCTGAGCAAATTCAGTATATAAAGATTTCCAATCAAGATACTGCCCCATAGTGAGGCAGGCTTTTACAGTTGACATCCAATCTGATGGCGTCATGGCTGAATGGGTCAGCCTCTCAATCTGAGCTAGGGTGAAAGAGGCATTAACGCCATAGGCTTGTACAGAGTCAGCCAAATTCTTTAAGACCTTAAAATCAAGGGGCTCATGATACCTCTGCTGATTGACGTCCTCAAAAACGGGAAAGGCAACCGCTGCCTCTCGCCAAGTCTGTGGACAAAAGGTGCAGGCCGACGCCTGTGCACCCCCCGATGGCCGCAAGGACACTTCCGCATATGGCGGAGGAGCAGAAGGCTCCACCCTCCTTATCACATCTACCTCCTCATTCTTGCAGCCAGACCCTACTTCCTTCCTTTTTCTACCATCTAACTTCCTTTTCTTACGGGCCTCACACTTCTCCATTTTGGCCAACAATTCTTGTATAGCTTCTTCTAGATCTTCCATCTCCCATTCAGTGTCTGAACTGTCCTCAGTTTCTGACTCTTGATCAGTTGTTAGACCCTTTAAACTAGGGTACAGCTGTTTTGACCTCTGTCTCTCTCCTTCCTTCCCCAATCTTGAGCTGGTGGACTGTGTCTCTGATCTCATCTCTTTTATTAAATCCAGAGCCTCTGTAGTTACTTGTATTGCCGAATGACACTCTTCGCTAGTTAAACAACCACGAATAATCTTCCACATGCCTCTGATCCCTGTCTTTCCCCTCCTATCCTGCAGGGTGCCTTCCTCCCAGGCTCGATCTAGATCCCTTCCTAGTTTATCCCAACAGGACAAAGTAAGATTACCCGAGACCGCAAACCACGGGGCAACGGTATCCACTTCACTGAGAAATTGAGTGAGCACTTTATCTTTAAATTTTAAACCTTTACTCTTAAGGAGTTCATGAAGAGCGGCTTTCACGGGACAGGACGGTGACGTTCCCATAGTTACCAGCGGCACTCACGCCCTGGCTGATGACAGTCGAGGCAAAAATACAACACCAGGGACACCGCAACCGCTATCACTAATACTAGAATGACTACCCACCGATCCACTCCTCCCGACAGGAACACACTCTGCTGGCCGCTTCACTTTCACTGTTGCTTGCCTCCTACCGAGGACATTAAAGGTTGAAGCCTCCTTCCGAGGACTTTAAAGGTTGAAGCCTCCTTCCGAGGTCTTTAAAGGTTGAAGGGCCCCACTTACCGGCCACTTACCGATCGATCGCCCTGACTGCTACTGGTTCTGGAACTCCGGGAATTCAGGAAGAAATCCCCGTACGGGCCACCAAATGTGCGGCGCCTACCACCCCGACCAGCAGGGAAGAAAGACTCGCACACCAGTTCCTTCCAGCAACAGTTTACTCAGGAGTTGCAGTTTTACATAGAGTTTGAATGGTGTGCCCCCGACTAGCCTGTGAGTGCAGCTTATATACCCTTAGTAGAGCCACCCATGAGCCCATACCACGTCTTGCACTATCATAGGCCAGATACCCATGACGTGAGATCAGGCCACCAGCGGGCACAGCCTCTTGACCAAATAAGGACTTGTTTTCTCCAAAGCGGCAAGGCGCCATCTTTAGAGCACGGCAGCAGCGCTCCACAGTTCCCCCTTTTTGTTTTTAAAGACAAGCTGTGACTGCCCGATCAAGCAAGCTCCATCATGTAGGATCCCACGATCAAGGGCAGACAGGCTCAAGCCATGGGACTCACTCTACTGGGTGCAATGGGCAAAGCCCACCAGGTGCAAGAGCTGGCCCAAGGAAAATGGAATAGACACCCATCCCGTGTGCAATGAAACCTATAGGCTTCCAGGGGTGCAAGGGCTGTCCAGACCTAAAATTTGGGGTAATGAGCGCAACTAATGCTTCAAAGCTACCAGCCATGCTTGTGGAGATACACCTCCCCTCAATGGCCTGAAAGGCACGCACTACCAGCGCCCTCTCACATCTCTGGGCCCTGACCATACAACAGATTCAAGACAGGCAGAGAACACAGACGCCCACTAGGGCAACAGCTAGTGCTCCTATACCCACCCACTTTTTAAGATGATGCATTGCTTGAAGAATCCAAGAAGATAGGCTCTCCGCGAGAGACAGGTCAACTCGCGTAGAATTCACCATGGTGATGGAAACACGTAATTCCCGTATCAAGGTATCAAACCTTCCGGACCAATTTCGCATCATGCATCACCGGCATTGGTCTTGGAAACACCGACAGAGTCCCCCATCTTGGTTCCGCCATCCCCGACATCACCATTAGCACCATCACTAGGCTCAGGATCTTCGGGAAGGTCCCCATGGCGAATCTTCCTTACTAGGCGTTCAGGTACCCACACTGGATCTTGTTGATCCTGAGGAAAGACACAAACAGAACCTCGTGCCCATGTCAGCACGGGATCAGGCCCTCGCCAGGAGCCCGTCAACACATCTTTCCATTTCACCATGCCTTTAGACGGTCCTTGAGAATCATAATGTCGCTCAGCCGCTGAACGACCATGAGCATCCAAATTTAAAAAATTTAAGGTAAATAAGGCCAAGGATATTCTTTCCTTGGGGGTGCGGCTATGGCCTATTCCCCCTTTTTGTTTTTGTAAGCATTTTTTTAGAGTGCGATGTGCACGCTCCACAATACCTTGACCTTGAGGATTGTAGGGTAATCCATGATTAAGCTGTGTCTCCATACACTTGCAGAAAGAGGTAAAAGTTTGAGCCGTGTAAGCTGGTCCATTATCTGTTTTCAGCTGCTGTGGCTTTCCCCACGCAGCCCAGGCTTCCAAGCAATGAGTAATTACATTACGAGCCTTTTCTCCAGTCAATGGTGTAGCATGTATAACCCCAGAGCATGTATCCACTGATACATGAACATATTTTAGAGTTCCAAATTCTGAAATGTGGGTAACATCCATTTGCCAGAGCTTAAGTGGCAACAGTCCTCTAGGGTTAACCCCCACACTGGGAGGGTGATGAAACACTACACACTGAGGACAATCTAAGACCACTTGTCTAGCATCTGCTCTAGACAAATGAAATTTTTGTTGTAGGGTTTTTGCATTTACATGAAAGGATTGATGAAATTGTCGAGCAAGATCTAAGGATGAACTTAAAAAAATACATTCCATCCTCGTCCAGTGATCTACCACATCATTCCCTTTACTCAGGGGTCCAGGTAATCCTGTATGAGCTCTAATATGTTGAATAAAAAAGGAGTTTTTTCTCTGCCAAATCAAATTTTGTAAATCTTGTAATAAAATATGCACAGTACTACTACTTTTAATAGGGCCTGCAATTTCTAAAATTTTTACTGCATTAACTACATAAGCTGAATCTGAAATCAAATTAAACGCAAAAGGGCATTTTTTAAACACTTCTACAACAATTTTTAATTCTACAATTTGAGGAGAATCTGGTTGATATTGACATAGTACAGGTTCTTGCTGCTCTACCATATAGGCTCCACAGCCTGTCTTGGAACCATCAGTAAAAATATTTGGTGCTCCCTTAAGGGGAAAAGCAGAAGTAATTTTAGGAAATACTACAGGGTGTTCCTTAAAAAATGATAACAAAGGATGTTTTGGATAATGATTATCAATTATTCCATTAAACCCACATTGTAAAATAGCCCAATCATCTATGGTACCATCCAACACTTTAATTTATGGCTAGAATAAGGAACTATAATACTGGCAGGGCCAGTTCCAAAAAACTGTAAACATTGCTGGATGCCACTTAAGGCTAAAACAGCAACTGCAGTAGGATAGTGTTCTATAGATTTATTTGGAGAACTCTTTGGATAGATCCACAATAATGGACCCTCCTGCCACAACAACCCTGTAGGTTGACCATAGGTGGCAATTATACATAAGGTGATGGGTTGGCCTTCCTGCCATCTCTGCAAAAATGCACTCTGTAACCTTTTTTCCACTTTATCCAGGGCTTCCCTTGCCTCCTTTGTTAATTGCCTAGGGGAATCAAGTGCCGAATCACCTATCAAAATATTATATAGGGGTTTTAATTCATAATTTGGCAGCTTCAAATAACTTCTTATCCAATTAATATCCCCTAATAATTTCTGAAAATCATTCAAAGTTTTTAAATTATCTTTCCTTATCTCAACCTTTTGAGGCATTACTTTTTCAGGTCCGATTCGTGCTCCTAAATAATTAACCACACTTTCCTTCTGAACCTTTTCAGGAGCAATAAACAACCCTCTTTGTTTCAATAATTTAATCAATTCTTCATAGGCATGATCTAAAACTAATTCACCTTTTGCTGAAAGCAAAATGTCATCCATATAATGAATGCATCTCAAATCTGGAAAAATTTTTCTTAGGGGAGCGATGGCTTCACCCACATACAATTGACACATAGTAGGGCTATTTGCCATGCCCTGAGGCAGGACTATCCACTCGAACCTCTGATCAGGTTCCTCATGATTACAGGATGGGACAGTAAATGCGAACCTCTCACTATCTTTGGCACATAGAGGAATGGAAAAAAAGCAATCTTTTATATCAATAACTATTATGGGCCATGCGGCTGGTAAAGTAGATAGGAGTGGCAGCCCACGCTGGACTGGGCCCATGATCTGCATTTGCTGATTAATGGCACGCAAATCATGTAGTAGCCTCCATTTTCCAGACTTCTTTTTAATCACAAAGATAGGAGTATTCCAGGGAGAAACTGAGGGTCGGATATGACCCATGGATAATTGTTCTGCTACTAATTGTTTAGCTGCTTGTAACTTCTCAGAGGAGAGTGGCCACTGAGGAACCCATACTGGATCCTCTGTCTTCCAGGTAATGGGAATACCCTCCTCAGTGGCCCCTAGGAAAAACCCAAACCCCTTCTATCAGTTTTTGGCATAATCTTTATAGGTTGTGATCTGCCTTGTAAATTCTTTCCTAATCCCTTGGAAGGATACCATCCCATATCTTGCATCATTTTCTGAGAATTAAAGGAATATTCATTGGTGAGGCGGTACTGCATGCCCTTCAGAAGATCCCTTCCCCACAGACTAACAGGCAACTCCAGCACATATGGTTGGAAGTGACCCTGGTGTCCTTCTTGGTCTTCCCAGGGGAGGTTTCTTGCACTCATATCTGGGGTCTTGGCATACCCTAATCCCTGTAAAGTCTGGGAAGAGGACTGGACAGGCCATCCTCTTGGCCAATCTTTCAGGGCTATGATGCTGCGATCTGCTCCAGTATCTAATAGTCCCAGAATAAGTTTTCCATTTACTCTGATTTCAATCAATGGGCGTTGTTCTAAATCAAGACTAAAAAACATGGAATCCACCCTGGTGGATCCAAAGCCCTCACATCCTCTTTTCCGATCTCTGGAAGGATACAGTTCATGCAGACTAGGTAGGACCAAAAGTTGGGCAATACGATCTCCAGGGGAAATTGCTGAAATACCCTGAGGGGAAGAAACCAAAACCTTCACTTCTCCTTCATAATCTTGATCTATAACCCCTGGATGAATTATCAAGCCCTTCAAGGCTGAAGAGGATCTTCCCAACAAGATGCCCACTGACCCTGGGGGAAGGGGGCCTTTAAAATCAGTGGTTATTGGCTGCACCCCCATTTGAGGTGTTAATACGATTCGGGTGGTGCAGCGGAGGTCCAGCCCTGCAGAGCCTGACGTGGCCCTCCGAGGGGTCTCATGCTGGGCAAACTGTGTACCTGGTCGCTCTGTTCTTCCATGGCCCCATATATTTGTGGGCCCTGGGGTCTTGGGCCCTTCTGTCCGTTTTTTGAGCGTGCTCCTGCATTTCCAGTGGTTAAAGGTTGACCATTAATGTCCTTAACTGATTGACACTCATTAGCCCAATGATTTCCTTTCTTGCACCTCGGGCATAAACTTGGGCTTGGCTTTGAATTCATTCTCCTTCCTCTCTCGGGCAGTTCCTTTTTAAATGTCCCGTATGGCCGCATTGAAAACAAGCTCCAGGAGTACTTCCCTTCCCTTTTGAAATTTGCATGACAGCGGCTGCAAGGCCAGCGTTGGACAATGGTCCTCCTATCCCCCTGCAAGCCTTCATCCAGGCTGTCAATCCTTTAGCCTTCCAGGGGGTAATTGCTTGCCTACATTCCCTGGTACATTGCTCAAAGATTAACTGCTGTATAAGAGGCATGGCAGTATCAGGATCTCCAAAAATCCTGCCTGCAGCCTCCATCATCCTAGCCACAAAATCTGAAAAAGGTTCTGTTGCTCCTTGGACTATTTTTGTTAAATTACCAGAAACTTCTCCTTTATTAGGCAATGCCTTCCATGCCTTTTCAGCTATAGTATTTATTTGTGCGTAAACTTGTGGAGGATAAGCTGTTTGATTGTTCGACCATTGTCCTTGCCCCATGAGCATATCAAAGCTCCAGGCAGCCTGACCTTGGGCTGCATTATCTCTGGCCCGTTGCTGAGCAAATTCAGTATATAAAGATTTCCAATCAAGATACTGCCCCATAGTGAGGCAGGCTTTTACAGTTGACATCCAATCTGATGGCGTCATGGCTGAATGGGTCAGCCTCTCAATCTGAGCTAGGGTGAAAGAGGCATTAACGCCATAGGCTTGTACAGAGTCAGCCAAATTCTTTAAGACCTTAAAATCAAGGGGCTCATGATACCTCTGCTGATTGACGTCCTCAAAAACGGGAAAGGCAACCGCTGCCTCTCGCCAAGTCTGTGGACAAAAGGTGCAGGCCGACGCCTGTGCACCCCCCGATGGCCGCAAGGACACTTCCGCATATGGCGGAGGAGCAGAAGGCTCCACCCTCCTTATCACATCTACCTCCTCATTCTTGCAGCCAGACCCTACTTCCTTCCTTTTTCTACCATCTAACTTCCTTTTCTTACGGGCCTCACACTTCTCCATTTTGGCCAACAATTCTTGTATAGCTTCTTCTAGATCTTCCATCTCCCATTCAGTGTCTGAACTGTCCTCAGTTTCTGACTCTTGATCAGTTGTTAGACCCTTTAAACTAGGGTACAGCTGTTTTGACCTCTGTCTCTCTCCTTCCTTCCCCAATCTTGAGCTGGTGGACTGTGTCTCTGATCTCATCTCTTTTATTAAATCCAGAGCCTCTGTAGTTACTTGTATTGCCGAATGACACTCTTCGCTAGTTAAACAACCACGAATAATCTTCCACATGCCTCTGATCCCTGTCTTTCCCCTCCTATCCTGCAGGGTGCCTTCCTCCCAGGCTCGATCTAGATCCCTTCCTAGTTTATCCCAACAGGACAAAGTAAGATTACCCGAGACCGCAAACCACGGGGCAACGGTATCCACTTCACTGAGAAATTGAGTGAGCACTTTATCTTTAAATTTTAAACCTTTACTCTTAA